AGGGATTCCATTCTTCAAAAACTTTATAATTCGAATGATCTATACTCTCTGAAACCCAAAAAATTACAAAATATAATGCTCACATTTGCTCGTTCCTTACAAAAAATAGAAAATCGTTTTAAACTGTATAATTTATCTCGTAAATTTATTCAACGTTTCGAATTATAATTCTTTTTCTTAAATGGAAAAAAATGAATGAAATAAAATTTAAATAGAAAAATACAATTGTAAGGAATAAAATGTGAGAAAAGGGAAAATAAATCAAGACATAAAAACATGGAGACTTCATATATTAATATAACAGACATATAAATTATTGCCGTTTAAGAAACAACATGTTTCATAACAAAATAAACCAAAGGATAAAAGAAACAGTAACTAAAACTTTCATAGAAAGATTATTTAACCAGGGGTGCATCTCTAACATTTTACATAAATATGACCTTGTCTTTTTCAATGAGACCACAACATCAGTCATCATAATTCGTCCTTCAGGTAATTCAGTGCAACAACTTAATGCTAACTCAAAAATTGATGATATATGTGGTAATATATTGCTGACATTTGGATTTCCTTCATGTAGCAAATTGACATCAAGAATATTGATAATTGAGTGTGGTGTTGATTTGCTAACCCAATCTTTCAAATCAAAATCTTCAATAAACATTTCATCAGTTGGTTTCTTCCTTGTAAACATCTCTATTAGCATGATACCATAGCTATATACATCTCCTTTGAAAGAAACCACTCCTTTTGATGCATACTCTGTATATCAAAAGAGAATATAAGGTTTGCAATTAAATATTTTTTTCACATAGCTAATAAAAATCTTCGCGTATATGAATAGAATATATATATACATATATCAATGATCAAATAGTAAAAAATTTTACATAGAATAAAAAACGACATAATTAAACTAAAATATCATTACTAAACTCACTACAAAAAAACAGCGGATTAGCGACGGAATTAGCAACGGAATGAAATTCCGTCGCTAATTTCTGACGGAATTGCGACGGACTTGCCACGGAATTTAGCGATGGAATAATTCCGTCGCAAATTCCATCGCTAAATGACGAATACTGACGGAATTTGAGACGGAATGTTTCCGTTGCTAAATTCCGTGGCAAGTCCGTCGCAATTCCTTTAGAAAAATTAGCGACGGAATTTCCGTCGCAAATCTGTGGGTAATTTGCAAAAGAGGTGGGGTTAGCCTATTCCAACTTTGCGACGGAATTTCTGACGGAAAAAATTTCCGTGGCTAAATTCCGTCAGAATTCTGTCGCTAAATGACGAATACTGAAGGAATTTGGGACGGAATGTTTCCGTCGCTAAATTCCGTGGCAAGTCCATCGGAAAAATTAGCGACGGAATTTCCGTCGCAATTCCATCGCAATTCCGTCGCAAATCCATCGCAAATCCGTGGGTAATTTGTAGAAGAGGTGGGGTTAGCCTATTCCAACTTTGCGACAGAATTTCTGACGGAAAAAATATCTGTGGCTAAATTTCGTCAGAAATCCGTTGCTAATTGTGTTGCTAACGCAAAATTTATGATTTTTTTTTTGCTAGCAAAATTTATGTAATTTTTAATTTTCTTATAATATTTGAATAATTTATGTAATATATAAAAATATGATGATTGATACATATTTTTCATAAGAAAATAAAGGTTAATCAATCTCATTGTTGGAGCAAGTTTTTGACGTGAAATATTTTTTGAACTTATGAAGTTAAATTAAAAGATATGAATATAGTTCCTAAGAATTTGATATGATTATATTGTCTTGTTAAGATATGAATATCTTTTTTGTTGGGTTGCTTCTCTTTCTCTTCCTACATCATCATGGAGTAAGTTTTAGTTAGTTAGATACAATAGAGATATGTGGAAAATGTAAAGATATGTTGAACTTTTATCTAATTGATAACTTATTTAACAACATATTTAATTATTAGCTTGTTTTCATTGAATCAATAATGGTGCCATGTACTTTAGGACTAAACAATAAACACAATAACTAAGTCAACCTAGTCCAATTTGCCTACATGCTTGATGTATATATCCAGTAGGTTGGGTTAGCTTGTTTAACATAAGTACTCAAACTGACCTAGAGTATTATATATAATCACTAACATATCTATATATACATATATCCCTATTCTCATTTGTGTCTTGGAGTAATAGTATATTATAAATATGTATATTTAAAATAAGTAATATAAAAGGACGGTAAAGTATAAAAAGAGAATCATTATTTTGAATTTATGACATAATAAATAGAAATATTTTGAAATTCTTTATAGTTATCTTGAAATTAGAAACTAGTTGGAAAATTGATTACGGACAACGAAGTATATAATAATTAGAAAAATCTGATTAAATGTAAAAATTATGCGTATATTTGTGTATATGTCTTGAATTTTTAATACAATAATTAGAAATATTTTATGTATGTTTAAGATAAATAAAAGGATGGTAAAGTATAAAAAAGAAAATTAATATCTTAAATTTCTAAGACAATAATTAGAAATATTTTGAAATTCTTTATAGTTATCTTGAAATTAGAAACTACTACAAAAATTGATTAGGGATGACAAAGTATACAATAATTAGAAAAATCTGATTAAATGTGAAAATTATGCATATTTGTGTATAAATCTTGAATTTCTAAGACAATAATTAGGAATATTTTATACATATTTAAGATAAATAAAGGGATGGTAAAGTATAAAAAGGAGAATCAATATCTTAAATTTCCAAGACAATAATTAGAAATACTTTGAATTTGTCATCCTGAAATTAGAAAATATTTAGAAAATTAATTAGAGATGATAAAATATATCTAAGATAATAATTAGAAAAATCCGATTAGATATTAAAATATATTGAATTTCTGTTAAGTTCTCGTAAAAGCTAGGTTTAAATTAAATAACTAATATATGTTTATATTATTTATAACATTTTCCTTTTCTCATGGTATTATTATTATTTGATATAGTATTATTACTATTTAGATACTTGGTTATGTATTTTTTTTCTAACTATTATATACTCAGAGGAAGAAATTGGTGATTGAAAAAAAAGGAGGGAAGCTTTTTGCCAAAAAAAGGAGCGAAATAAAATTTTTCATTTTTCCCTCATTCTCCACGGCGCTTTCAACTTGAAGCCCTAGCCCCAAAATCAACTCACTCTCACTTTCTCCGCATTGCACCCTCTGCCTCTGTTGTTCACCGTCAACTGCACTCAGTTTGCTCTGGTTCTCGGTCTTGCATCATCGGTGGTGGCTCTCGGCACTATTCCCATCATAGACCCACCTCAATGATCCACGCTATCTGCCCTCAATTTCGGTTAGTTGATTATGCTCTTGGCCTCTCCTCTCTTTTTCGTCCCGATCCTTTTCTTTCTCAGACTCTCTTTTCTTCCTTATCCTAATCCCTCTCTTTCTCTTGAAGTGAATAGGTTTAGATTGCAAAATTATTCATTTGGGTTTTGCTGACAGGCTTTGGATTCGTTAATTTGTCCCACAGGTACAAAATACACATTTTACTAGTAGAATTCACATATGTTCAGTAGCAGCATCAATTTTTTTTTCCTACTCTTTCGCTTCTGTACTTGTACATGGATTGAGAAGAAAGTTTGCCTTGTCATTTTGCCTTATGCCGGTCTGTGCAATTTTTTTCGGATTTTTAGACTACTATATAGTTCATGGACAGTGCGTTGCTTTTATGTTTTCTCTCATGGGATTTGCATTTTTGGTTACTTTTCTGTGCATATCAGTCTTGTTTTTATTGCATCTTGATCCTCATTCATTTGCATAGCAAGGTTCTATCGCCTTAATGTAGGATTTTTGGTATGTTTAGCAATTAATGAGCTTAAGGATTGTTCTTGGCTCCGTTGGATATTTTTTCTCATAATGGCTGCTCAAAAGCTTAAGTCATAAAGTTTTTTGATTAGTACGTTGGTATGTAAAGGCATTTGTCAAAGGAATTATGAATGTAGTTGGTGCTTGAACGTTGTGATGATTATTGAACTCAAAATAGTATTGGACTGTTATGGTAATTATTGCTGCTTGATTCCTTTTTTCTTTCCTCCAATGTCCTGATCGAACAACCAACCTGAATGATAGAAAGTTGACTCTCATATAATCTGCTGCAATTATTTCACCAATGTTTGCCCTATAGTGAATGTTTATGCTGCTTATAATCCATCCCACTTTTAAAACTAGATCAAGGAACGAATATTTATGAAATAACCTGAGAAATTAGATAATTCTTAATTGACATAAAAAATTCAACTCGTTTAATTGAGATTCCTTAAGAAAATTGCAAACTAACATCCCCGAATTGTCATTCAAGTTTTATGCTCTTGTTTAAATCAAAGTTCAATGACATCTCACTTAAACTCCAAATTAAACTTAAGCTACAATTAATCCTGGAATTTTAACAAACAGAGAAAATCAATCAATTTCCTCCTTTAATTTTCCTCTCAAACTTCCAATCAATCGAATAAAGGCTTATGACCTCTCAATATTTCAAGAAAAGTAGCAAAGTAAACATATTCCAAATCTGAAAAATATAAACTTGCACAAATTAAATCTTAACAGAGAGGAATTGTTGAAACTGTCAAATCTGAAATTTCAAAAGTCTACTAGTTCAAGTTATAAATCTATAGTCTCCATCATCAATCTTCAATTTATGCCCCAAAACATGCACAAGATAAGATAATAATCAATAGCCACGTGTAAAAATATTAAATGAAGATTTAATAATAAATTTTTAAGATTTAATCAATTAATTTTCATTAAGTGTAAAATGGCTAATAAAATAAAATAATTATTTTTTCTCAGCATGAGATGATAGATTTCCTTAAAATTGCGATAATTGGTTTTGCTATCTAATTATTCTATAATTATTTGGTTTATATACTTTTATGCATTATTCAAACTTTGTCAAATAACACTGCTTTATTATAGGATGATTATATGAGGCGGAAGGCATCCATGAATTCTGATGCAACTTCTCAAAGTGTGCAATCAAATGATCTTGAAGACATTAATATATGGTTTGAGGTTACTGGTGGTAAAAATAAGAAGGGCCGCTTGTATGGGTTAGGATCTGAGGGTAAAGACATTGGCTCTTCCTCTCATGTGTCTTCTTCTTCTATCAACAACACAGGACTCCATCCAGAATTTGAGTCCGAATTGCAAAATAGGGTACAAGAGCTTAGGCAACAGAATCAAGAGATTATGCAACAGAATCGGGAGATTCGCCAAGAGAATCAAGAGATTTGCCAGGAGAATCAAAATCTTAAAGATACAATCTTGTCCAGGCTCAAGGAACTTGAGAACAAAATATCCTGGCCATCTGACCAAGATAGTGCAGGAAATGACTGTTGAGACATTAGTTGTGTCTATTTATATTTATAGAATAGACTTCTGATATTTCTTTTTTATTCAGTTGTTATGTTTTTAAATTTTAGACAGTTTATTGTACTTCATATTATCTTTAATTCATGTTGGTTTTTATAAAAAAATTTGATTTGATTAACATTTTAAAAATTTATTCCTGTCCCTATAAATTATTTATAGAAAAAGCTGCCAAAAACAAATTTTTGACGAAAAGAAAACGTTGGCAAAAAAAAATTAAATTTCTGACGGATTTGTGACGAAAATTCCATCGCAAATCCGTCGTACATGACAGATTTGCGACGGAAAATTTCGTCGCAAATCTATAAAATTTCTGACGCAAAGTAGCAACGGAATATTCCGTCGCAAATCCGTCGCAATTTTTGTGACGGAATTTCCGTCACAAATCCGTTGCAAAGTTTGTGACGGAATTTCCGTCGCTACTTCGTCTTAGAGTTGGAATGCACTATCCCGATATTTGTGATGAAATATCATATTTTTGCGACGGAATTTTTCATCGCAAATCAACGACGGAATCTCATAATCCGTCGCAAATTAATTAGCGACAGAAGTTTTAGTGACGAAATTATTTCCGTCGCTAATTTCGTCGCTAATTTCCCTCGCAAAACATTTTATTGTCTGTTTTTTTGTAGTGACTATTACCTGGTGCCATGTAACCAACTGTAGCCAATGTTGTTGTGTAAGTTTCCAACTGTCTTTCACCTAATAGTTTAGCTATACCAAAATCACTAAGATGAGCCACCATATCTTCATTAAACAAAACATTGCTTGGTTTTATGTCACAATAAACAATTGGAGTAGAAGTACCGTGATGAAGATACTCTAATGCAATTGCTACATCAACCATTATATTCAACCTTTGTAGGATATCCAAACAGTAGTTATGAGAGTACAACCATCTATCAAGACTTCCATTTGACATGAATTCCATTATTAGACACTTGAAATCATTATTTGAGCAACAACTAATAATCTTAATGAGATTGCGATGGCGTAAATTGCACATGGCATCACATTCAATATCAAAACTTCTCAATGCTTTTTCCATGTCTGTGTTAAATACTTTGATAGCAACTACCTTTTCATTTGGAAGAATTGCTTTGTACACTGATCCAAAACTTCCAGAGCCAAGAAGATTGCTCTCATCAAATCCATTTGTACCCTGTAGAATCTCACAATGGGATATCCTAGTTGGTCCATCCAAATTTGTTAAATCCCTTTTGGTTGTATAGTTAGCATCATCTCTATTTTGCTTTAGAAAGATAATGCCTGTAACAACCAAAATGAAAAACACGATTGGCACTAAGCATTTTATTACTAGTATCACTTTATTTGACATGTGCTTGTTTCCTCTCCTACATGGTTGGACTTGTAGTTGGAATTTTCCACAAAGATCTTTATTCATTATAAAAGATTGAGCAGTAAAATTTTGAAAAGGACCACCATTTGGAATTTCTCCATCCAGTAAATTATAGGAAAGATCAATAGATTTAAGATAGAGTAGTGACTCTAAAGACTTTGGAATCACACCAGACAAATAATTATGGGAAAGATCTATTGACTCAATACTTATCATGCTGCTTAGTGATTCAGGTATAGGCCCTTGTAATTTGTTGTGAGCCAAAGATAGGTTTTGTAAAGTCTGCAACCCACCCATAGTTGTAGGGATGCTTCCTAAAATTTGGTTTCTTGACAAATCCAGTAGTGTAATTACTCTTAAGTTTGATATCTCTGGTGAAATTATACCACTCAATGCATTTGAGGATATATCTAAAATCAATATATCTTTGAGACTCCAAAGAGAAGATGGTATATGAGAAACAAATTTGTTAGAGCTAAAATTCAACTTTTGCAGAGAAGTATTCCCAAGGCATCCTAGAATTGTTCCCGAAAACATGTCGTTGGCAAGATTCAACTCACTTAGCCTTTTGAGTTGGCAAAGGTCATTTACAATGGACCCTTGTAATTTGTTGTTGCTAAGACTTAAGCCTTGAAGGCTATGTAATTTGCCAAATGTATACGGAATCAACCCAGTCAATTCATTCCCATCCAAAGCTAAGTCAAGCAAGTTTGTTAAATTTCCAATTACATTGGGTATAGCTTTGGTAAATGTATTCAATGGTAAACGCAACCTAATAAGCTGAGAAGCATTTGATATGCTGTTTGGAATTTGTCCAGTTAGTTCATTTCCTTCCAGCACTAAATTCTTCAAGTTAGGGAGGCCAATTCCTAAATATGATGGGAGAAGGCCAGAGAGGAAGTTGCTCCCAAGGTTTAACAGTGTCAGTGTTGAAATGTTGAATATGTTGAAAGGAATAGGTCCTTTGAAATGATTAGAAGATAAGTCTAATCTATCAAGTTTATCAAGACTGCCTATCCCTTTGGGTAGAAAACCTGGACAAAAAAATTAATGGATGAATGAAACATGTGGGCATATTATATGCGGCATGGAGGATGAATGAAACATGTGGGCGCATTATATGCGATATGGAGCTTTTTCATTGATCAAGCTATAACCAAAAAAAAAAAAAAACTTCACGTCTTATTAATTCCAAAAACTACAATATTAGAAAGCGAAAAACCGAATTTCTTATAACATCAAATTGCATACCTTCTATTGAGTCTGTTAAGTTTGACTACTGTATAAATTTTTTGTGCATTGCCAATTAATCATGTGTGGCATACTTTCTAATATTTTTGGTACATTTTTTTTAGCAAAATATTTTTGGTACAGTGGAGCTGAGAAATTACGAAGTATACTTTTCTCAACGGATTAAAAAATAGGTCCCACATCATACATTGCATACATGTCTCCCTCTTGTTAACGTTGTTTACTTATTTTATTTTCATATTTAATAATTACTCAAAAGTTATTATATGGAAAAAAAAATTTACTGTAAAAGCTTTATTGATTTTACATAGAATTGAGCATATAGATGCAATCAAAAAAAAAGAAAAAGAATCGAGCATATAGAACACTTTCTCTTTACACCCAAATGAATTTAAATTTAATTGATGTGATTTAATTATTTGACAAACTATTAAAAACATCCTGTATTCTCATTCTTCAGTTTGAGCTTAAATTTCGTTAGAGAAGTCATTTTTACAGATGCATTTAAACTTTTTTTAATTTTATATATTTTAATTTTTTATACATATTGAAATGTTTTTTTTATTGTACATTGTTTTAATTCCTACGTTATAATTTTCGAAAAATAATATTAAATATAATTTTAATTTCATTTAAAAAATATATAGTTTTTGCAATTTATTTATATAATAAATAAGAAAAAACAACTTTAACCTCGTAGGAATTTTAATATTATTTTAATATTAAGAGGAGAGGAAAAAAATATAAAATTAAGTTAATTGAGAGACAGATGAAATCTTTCAAAAAAAATGTATTGGCATGACACATGGGGGCCATTCTGTATGGTTTGAAGTTTTTTCATCAAATAATATATTAGAGGATATAATTTCTCTTTTTCATGAGTTCCATCTGCTATATGAATGAAATGAAAGAAAAAAAATTTTATTTCAGAAAAAATATTAAAAAGAAAAAAAACACACAAGTAAATGCATACTTGTAAATGAGTTACCACCCAAATATAATTCTTTCAAAGCTATGCCTTTGTTTATTGATTGCCTATGGCATTAAATTACTTATTCGGCATTTTATCCCTCTAGGAAATTATTGTGTGAAAAGCTTTAACTTGAAAAGCTTTATTTAGTTTCACAACGTGCAGAACAGTTCTTCTATTTGTTGAACAATTAACATATCTCATGTTATTGTTCATCAGTTTGAGTTACATTTAAATTTTTATTCAATTTCTATTGTTATAATTTGTAATTGATTTTTATATCTATTTAAAAAATATTTTGTTTATTTCAAATTTTTAATTCATATGCTGTGATTTTTTTAGAAAAATATGAATATAAATTTAATTTTAATTAAACGATAGAGCTGTTACCGTGTGTTTGCGCGTGTAGAAAAGAAGAAATTATCATATATGATGCAGAAATTATCAAATATTGTTAAAAATGTATGTTTAAGAATAATCCTAAAACTTACGTTAAATATGTTAAAAAGAATTCAACCGAAAGAGTAAAACGTGGTGAAATGACTAGTATTTCTTTTGAAAAATAAAAGTTTTTGTACTGTAATTATTGAATAAGTATTTAATTTGAAATGAACGAATTTGAAAAATAAAAAATTGAAAAAGAAGCATAACAGATGAAAAAATGTACGCTACAATAGAGAGGAAAAAATATAAAATTAAAGTTGCCTGGAAGCAGATAAAACCTTTAAAGAAAAAAAAAGTAGCGGCATATAATAAGTATGTATGTTGCATTTAAATTTGGTTGAACAAGCATTTTATGAGTTGCATTTATTGTATGATTTGTAACTGACCTTTTGTACATATCTAAATAATTTTTTTTATTGGACATTTTTTAATTGCTACGTTGTAATGTTTTTAAAATAATATAATTTTAATTTCAGTTAAACAATGTTGAATTGTTACAATTTGTATATATAATAAATAAGTAAAACCGACTCCAAACTCATCTGTATTTTAATATTATTTAAATATTAAGATGAGAGAAAAAAATAAAATTAAAGTAATTAAGAGACACAAAAAAATCTTGATAAAAAAGAATTGTATGGTTTGGAGTTTTGTTGTCAAAGAGTATATGTGAGAATTTCATTTTTTTTGTTACAAATTTCACAGCATCCATCTGTTCATGATTAGGATTTTTGAGAAAAACAAAATCTCATTTTGGAGAAACATATTAAAAAGAAAAAAAAAAACACTCAAGTAAGTGCATACTTGTAAATGAGTTACCATCCAAATATAATTCTTTCAAAGATGTGCAATTGCTTATTGATTGTGGAATACCTCCCTCTAATTGATGACCATAAACATCAAAGGCCTCAAGTAAAGGGAGATGATGACACATTTCTTCAGGCATATTACCCTTTAAATGATTCATGCCAAAGGCCACATATGTCAAAGAAGGCATGTTCCAAAGAAATCAAAGAATTCCACCTATAAATAAATATAAAATATTTGTTAATTGCTTGGGAGAATGGCAAGCATGTTCCTAATAAATTCGTCCGTACACAAGCATATAAATAATACAAGGAATTTTGGTAATTAGATGCTTAAAATTAATAGAAAATAATTTATTTTTTGTTGGACTATACTCCCTCCGTTCCTTATTATAAGAGACATTTGATACTTATGGCATGTTCCTATATATAAGAGACACTTACAAGTTGTCTCTACCTTTTTGTTGATTTACTATTTTACCCATATTTATTATCTCCAACTCACACTCTCTCTCCCTCCCATTTCTCTTTCTTTTAATAATTTAATTGTTCTCTTTCATGCTCTCTCTCCTTATTAATGAGGGCATTTTTGGAAAAAAAATTATACTTTTTACACATTAATTATTCTTAACTAATTTTAACTGTTTTTTTTATCAACGTATTTCGGTTATTTGTCTCTTATAATAAGAAACGGAGGGAGTAGTTTAAAGGGACTCTTCCCATATTAATGACCAATTAGATGTTAAATTTCTTTCAAAGAAGAATTGCTGAAGATTAGAGACTATGGAATTAATCTCACCTAATCTAAATTGAACATCCAAATTATTTATATTTTGTATTATAGTTATTGAAGTATTTAAAAAGTTTCTAACTTTAAAATCTGATGATGAATCCATCATAGGCAACAAAAAAAAAAGGCTGAAATTTTAGTTTTTCTTTAAGGAATTAAAAGCGCTTTTAGTTACACATTTTGGAGATAAAGCATAAAATTAAGGATGAAATTTCACATGTTTCAATATAAAAGTGGACAAGATACAAGTTATGTATATGTTGACGAGAGAATTGGAAGTATTAAAAATCTTTTCAAATACAAATCCTTTCATCAAATATAAACAAACATTATATTGATAGCGAACACATTTATTCTAATGATCAAAAATTATATTTTATTTCTCTTTTTAAAGACATTTTTGCTAGGATTTTTACAGGGCTTCCCTAATTTTTTTAATGATCCAAAATTATATTTTATTTCTCTTTTCAAGGATTTCTATTATGACTGCAAACTTTTTAGTAAGCTTCTCATGATTTTTTAACATGGATGAAAGAAATGAAAAGCAAAATCTCACTTTAAAATTATTTTTCATTCGAGAGATGAAAACAAAAACAAAAATACACAATATGGTCTAAGACAATTATATAATTAAAATTCTTACCCTGCAAATTGTTGTAGCGAAGATCAAGGAGTTGGAGGTTTGTCAAATTTCCAATCTCACTTGAAATGATTCCTGGATAAATTATATATGGTAAAGTCATTTTATTGATCAAAGTATATTAATGATGTGGTAGATTAAGGCTAAAATTAAAAAAAAAAAAGTTTTTCACATTTTAAATATATCAAGTGGTCCCATCAGCTCATGATCTTACCTTTTCTTTATTTTGGCATTGTAATATTGTTTGCATATAATATACATAAATAAAAAAGAAACTTCACATGTCTTACGCATTAATTTCAAAAACTTGAACATTTGTGCTATACTGATTAATCCATGCATAAGTATTAAAAAGGAAACAGGCAAATTTCCTCTAACCATCAAAGTTCTTACCTTTTAATATTGCAAATGAGTACATTAAGTTTAACTATATAACTTTTATGCATTGCCAATTAATCATGTACGGTATAAAACATTAGACTACTTTTTCAGCAATTTATCTCTGATGAAGGAATTTGTTTTGTGCAGTTTCAGTGAGAAATTATTAAGTGAGAAATTGATTCAAGCCAGAATTTCTCTAAAAATACCTAACAAACTGTTAAAAGACAAATGAGCTAAGGAATTATATGGATCCAAAGTAATACTACTATTACTTTGGATCCACCCCTTTTTTTGGCCTATAAAATGACAAAATTGCTCTTAGACCCACCCCCTTTTTTGGCCTAATAGACCGAACCCCTTTGATTGATGCTGATGACTAGCGTTAGCCGAGCATCGCTTGGTTAGACAACAGCTATAAATACCCCCTCCCCTTTCTTAAATTAACACAACTCAACCACTCATTGTTTTCGAGAGTTAGTGAGTGTGTAACAAATTAGAAAATTTTTAACTTTTATAACATGATTGACAAGTCATGTAACAATATTAATAAGTTTGGTAACATAATTAAAAACATGTTTTTTGCAAGAAATTGTGAAAGTGAGATTTGTTTTTTCAACTTCAATAACATGGTTAACAACTTTTGTATTGATATTAACAACTCCACTGTGTCATTTACCATGGGATCTCAGAGGTATTTTGATTTTGAAATTTTTTTTAATATCTAATAAATTGGGAACTTTTTAACTTTTATAATGTCATTGGCGAGTCATATAATAATACTAACAAATTTGATAATGCAATTAATTACCTGTTTTTTAAGGAAAGTATGAAAGTGAGATTTTTTTCAACTTTAGTAACACAATTAACAACTCTTGTAATAATATTAACAATTCTAATAACACCATTCAGCACCGGATCTGAGAGATATTTGAACTTTGAGAGATTTATGAGTTTCAAATAAATTGAGAATTTTTCAACTTCTTTAATATGGTTGACAATTCAGGTAACGACAGTAACAAGTTTGCTAACACAATTAACAACCTATATTCAAAATATTTTCATAAAATAAGTATAAATCATATAATAGCAATGTAGTCATTTTAGCCAATTTCAAAATGCTTATTTGGTCATGTGTGACTCAAATGGAATTTCTCTTATTGAGGTGACTATTTGAGGTTTTCAAAATTTAAGTATCATTTTATTGTGATTTTCCCTAATAAATTTCTTAGTTCCAAAAAATAAATAGTATACTGGAAATTTTATTATTAAAGTCAATAATATTAATAATTTAACGACCAATGTTAGAATCGCTTGGTTTAATTTTAAAAAAAAAAGACTTCTCTCTGTATTTTTAATATTAATTAAAAAAGACAAATTGGTGCTTGAATCAATCAAAACCTCTTTTGGAACACTCTGTTGGAAACTCTGGGATAATATAAACAAGTGCATTTTTCTTAATGACTCTCTCACCTCTGAGAACATTATTTTTACTGTCTGTACTCTGTACTATCGCAACTCACACCATAAACGCTGGGGCCCTTCTTAGAGCTATTGAACCGGCGGGTTAGATGGTGGCTTTTGCAATTCTCTGTACATAATTGTTTAATATATTCTCCTTTCACTTAAAAAAAAAAACAATCAAAACGTCTCTAAAACCTATTATTTTAGGAACAGGCCTCTAATATCACTTCTGACCAGGCTTATCATTGTTATTAATTAATCTATTGATCCGTTAAACCAGAAAAGTTTTATAAAGTTCGATAAATCCACAAGTAATTTGACCAATTTTATTCCCATCTTTCAAATTATTGGTACAAAGCAACATTATTTTTAAGATTGACACGATATATTTTTTTTCATATACTAATATACCCCAAAAAAAGTTATGTTCACACGTCACAAGCATTTTTTCTTAGGCACTGGAATCTTTCTATTTGAGACAATCCTATTTGAGGCACATCACAAGCTTGTAGTTTTTTTCTTTCCCCAACTAAGGATAGATATCCTCCTTATTAAGACAATTTTATTCGAGGAACTGTTAAGTATTAATATGAGTACTTCTCCTAACCGGACTTCAACCCTTAGCTCATTACGTTATAAGAGATTGGCCCATTTTTCTAAACTCAACCCCATTGGAAGTTTGTAGTTGTATTTTTTTTTGGTAATGTTTGTAGTTGTATTTGTAGGATGAGGTGAGTGAACATAACTTTATAATTGGGCTGTGAGCCCAGATAGTTCTGTCATGAGCTAAGCACCCGCTGTGATGGGCTTGAAAAGAAATTTCACAAATTTTTGCCCTCACCCTCACATGTATGTATAATTTAAAAGTATAGCCTTAATCAGTCATGCTATTTGATAAACTAGTTATAAACAACGTTGTTCATTTATCAAACTTCACATGACACACTTCATCAATCCTTGAGTGCTAAAAATACATAATCCTTTGTTAGACGGATGAGGGCAGTAATATCAGCTGAATATGCGAGCCCAACCTATCAAAAATCAGGGAAGTTTGGGTCGGCATTTTGCCAACCCAACCTGCCATGACTTATACATGCGACTGGCTAACTTGCCAACCCATGAGGTTAGTTTTGTACTTAACTTAAGCATATCCTTATTTTACTCTAGGAACTTGATTTTATGCTTGATGATTTTTTCCCATTTTTTATTGATTTATCATCTTATATTGATAGGATAATTATGTAAAATACATTATATGTTTATATTTCTAGATTTTGGGGTCAATTTGATTATACAATTATTACTGTAATTTTTATATTTCATATTTTTACTATAATTTATGGGGTTAATTTTCATTTTCCAAATACATTGATAGGCTTACTATTGTAAATATCTGACATCTCCCTCTCCAACTAACCAGATTGCATGGATGAAAAGGGTGTCATATATATTTGTGTTTAGCTTTATGTGACTATTCCAGATTAATTCATGCAAAGCTCTGTGAATTACTTTTTACATAGGAAGACGGAAAAAAAAATATAGAATTCAAGCAAGTGTTATCTTTTCGAATCTTAACGATTGTATGGGCAAAATGAAAATCTAAGGATTTAGATTGAATATTTACACTACAAAAAAATTGACTTTCAATGGCGACAAAAGTCACCGCTGAAAGTATAAAAGTCGCCGCTGAAAGTTTTCAGCGACGACTTAAAAAGTCGTTGCCGTAACAGCTGTGGCTGAAAACTTTCAGTGGCGACTAAAAAGGTTGCCGCTGAAAAAGTCTTTTAGCGGCGACAAGAATGTCGTCGTCGAAAGTGTTTTCAGCTGTGACTTTGTTGTCGTCGCTGAAAGTAATACCTAAGAAGAATTGGCTTTACCAACACCACGTCATCACCGCCGGCACCATGTCATCGTTGCCG